GGGGGGGTTAAGTTCTCCACAGGTTCCAACGAACCTCAAAAGTATTTCGGTCGCTCTGACCACGTTGAGGCGTTAAGCCAGCTTGGACCGCTGCGGTCACGTAAAGGCATGAGCCAACTTGGAACTCCCAATTTGGACAAAAATCTGAGTTCTCTCGGCCTAGGCCACCTACGCTCGCTGCGAGCTGCTCTGGTCCTGGGACGAAGACAAACCCCCGTTCGACGGGTCCACGGGAGGCACTCTACGGGCTCATCCCGGACTGGCACTGGGCCAGACACACTTATGGATATGCGTACTGACTTGACAGCGGTGCCACACGCCAGCCTAAGTTATTTAGAAGGCCTGAGATGTCAGGAAATAGTAGGTTAAAGGCCATCGGTTTTGGGTTGGAGGTCAACGCAGGGCTGTTGAGGGCCAAGACCTAAGGTTGGAGGCCATCGCTAGTAGGCGGTGGACCATAGACACAAAGTGACAGCAAGAAGCAAAGTTGGAGGTCATCGCCAGAAAGTTGGAGGCCAGGGTGCCAAGTTGGAGGCCAGTGCTACCAGGTAGACAGCCAAAGTTGGAGGTCCTCGCTGGTGGGTGGAGGCCAGGGTACCAAGTTGGAGGCCAGTGCTACAAGGTTACAAGAAGCACAAAAGCACAAGAAGCAAAGACAGCAAGGTTGGGAGCCAATCTAGTGGGTGGAGGCCAAAGTTCAGGTTAGAGAACCCCTTACAAAGCTGGGAGGCCTACCTGCAAACCTGTAGAGTAGTCTAGAGGAAAACAGAAGGAAAGGCACCCACACACAAGTGTGTCGTACCATTTCCTCGTGTTTTCCTAAATAGTGGAACAGGCACAGGTGGATGATCAGTCCACCCATCCCTCGTTTTACCGTAGCTTCATTGCGTACGGTGGGTATGACGAGCCGTACGCCCCTGTTCCAAACCTATAGGTTCCCTTTGATTCCAAGGGGTGCACACACACACACACACATATATATATATATATATAGCCCTTGAGTTGTGCTGTCAGCTACAGACCTAGTCACCTGTTGCAGGTGGTGTGACGATCTCCCACCTCCGCTTTGGACCTGAACCTATCAAAGGCAGCTACCTCATTGACACTGGTTGTAACTACCTGGCTATCCACAAGAAGGACACCTTTGGGTGGGCAGATTTTGCAAACCAGTAAAACTCTTCAAGAAAGGACTGACTTTATATAACTGTCACTTCTTTTGGCCGCCATTTTTTGGCCCCTATCTGTCAATTCCTTCGCCGTCCTTTACGATCTTGCAGTGGTGACAATACTTTGCAGGAAACCACAATATGTACGCTCGCTGAGCAACCAGTGTATCGTTGGCGGTTTTGCCACCTTCCTATGGCAAGGAGAACCTATTCCTGGACTTAGACTAAAGAATGAGAAAGCAAGAGAAGATAGAAAAGGGAGCCTTTCGGTGCACACCGCTTGGTCCTTAATTTGGTGGACCAGCTAGTCACTATATAGTCGGACGACTATAATCGGTGTCCTTACATTTTGGAGACTGTGAATAGCGTCTTTTCCCCAGATTCGGCAAACCTGCAAACCTGTGTCAACTCCCAGTCGCCAAGGACACATACAAAGTGAACACATTCAAACTCCAAACCTGTTTTCAAACTTTGAGGAATTTCCTCCTTTTGAGAACATCAAATCGTTTGCATTTGGATTCATGAACTGACAGAAGCCCCTTCCAACTTGCAGCAGTATCTTGTACTCTTAGCTGGAAGATGCACCATACAACTATATAGTTGTCTACAATGCATTGCATAATGTGGATATTCGTGGATCTCATCACATTGTTTGTGTGGTGCAAGTTGATCCATTCAGGAGTACATCTTCAGTTTCTTTGCAGATCTGTTGCTTGGGCCGTTGGCAGATGGAGGTCCGTCCTTCACTTAAACTGATGACTCTTGCTCAAACATTCCATGTTCCTTGCATGTGCAGGGACCTTGGTCCTCAACTGCCCCTGGTCAGATGCTGCTCTCGACTGAGCTTTTTGTTTGCGGGATTCCATATTTTGTCGACTAGAGCACTTGAGCAAATGTAGCGTTTCAGGAGATGAACACCATCCTTCCACCTCCGTTCCGGAAGATTGTGGGCCAGAAGCGCCTCAAAGCTCTCTCCTAAGACCAGTGAGTTAGAGGCAAGAGAATACAAACAATCTATGGCGTCGCGTTTGGTTGGCCCAACCCACGAGCAAACCAATTCTGCAAAAGTCGACAATTCAGAACTACTTTTTGATGAAGCAACAAGTCTGCAATCAGTGATTCCGATCCTAAATGCTCGCGACGAAACTGATCCTGCGTCTTTCGAAAACAGCGCTTCGTGGCCAAATCACAGGTCAGTGAGGCCCGCAAGAGGTTTTAGTTGAGTTGCTGACTGCATTTCTTTTTTTCTGAAACTAAGTTGTTGCTTTCCCAATCTTGGCTTGGTTTGACTTGGTTTATCCTCCGAACAATGTGTCCACACATCAGGGTTCTTGTGGTCTAAATCCAGGGTTCGTGCGGCCATGGGCGGCCTATTGTGTGTGCCTGTTCGCACAAGAGCGCCTTCCAGACTCATGGGAATGTAGGAATACAGCTGGGAGCGGCGTTCTCATTCTCGGAGTTGGAGCTCATTTTTAGTGGCAGGTGCAATACACACCACGTGCTTTGGTAGTCCTGACTGGATGTTTCATGGCAGGTCCAGGTGGGAAGTACAGGCGTGATAGATTTCACGTCCTGATCTCTGGAACCCTCGGGAAACTTTGTTCAGATTTCGTGACTGTACGGATATCTTCAACAAAATTACAGAAATCTTGCAAATGTTGTGAGCAGCCCCCTACCACGCTGCAGCAGGTTGACACCACTTCACTAACGATGAGAATAGCATAGCTGTATCACCACAGTATGTAACCATCAGCAAGAACATACCACTGCCAGGGTAGAACCCTACGGATCTTGCAACCATCTAGGAATTTGTTTCATGTTATATATGTTGATTCCCTCCAGAAACACTGAAGGTCAGCGCAATTGACGCGAGTGCAGTGGCCAAACGGACAGGCAGGTTGGAGTTAAACAGTTTGACTATCAGCGTGTATGAAGCGGTCGCAGGTATGGGAAAGCTGATCAACAATATCATGACGGCTGTTTTCTTTGAGCTCTCGGGCGTTTTGCCCACAGAGCAGGCCCTATCTTTGCTCAAGGACTGTGGGGTTTGAGGGGGGGGTCGTGGTGGGCTCTCCCACTTCCTGCAAGGATGCGGTGAAGAAGACCTACAAGAACAAGGGTGATGCCATTGTCAACCAGCCTCTAGCTGCTGTTTCATATTTTGAGTGTCTTTTTCAATTTGACATTTAATACTTGGATTTGCTCGGGTTCTCTCATCCCTTGGGTCTGAACATCAAGGAACATCAAAGCGGTGGAGGCAGCTATTGAGGCCTTACGCACTGTGCAGTATGACGCAGCGAAGTGGGCAGCTATCGATTGCGACCGGGAATCCTTCTATGCCAAGGATTACAAGACCAGATGACTGTCTTTTATTCTGCTGTTGTAGGAACAGTCGCTGACATGAACCAATCACTAAGAATTCCAGGTCCGAGAAGAACAGGCAAGGCAAACCCAAGCCATAACAATGCGTTGTCACTTGCAGCTGGGAGGAGCGCGATTCGGAACCACCTACTTACGTGACTGATGTGTTGGACAAGGCACACTCAAGTTGAAAGAATGGAGCAAAGATGATACTTTCACCCCTGTGCAGGTCCAAACAATGCGTGGTCATGAGTTCCTTGGCAGTCATAAAACCATCCAATTCAGCCCGCTTGCAGATGATTGCCCATTGGAGTACATTGTACATCATTGTGCTGATTGCTACTGTTTCACAATTGTTTCAATTCTGAGATGGATGCCGACCGCGGAGCTTCAGGTTGAAGGTCAGCGAAGTTGAGGTGGATGGCTGCGTCCCACTCTCCCAGACACGTTTTGCAAAGCGTGGTGTCGCCGAGTCTGTGCCAGTGGTTGACATGGACTGCTTGCTTTGGCCATATGATTGAAGTTGGCCATGAAAGAACATGTTTTGCATGCTTTGTATCTTGAAATCCAGAGCTCACTTTGACGATACTCTTGCACCACTTGGAGGACAAGTGCATTCAGTGCAACGTTTGCAGCGCCATTTGCCCACATGCAGTGATCCGACCCTTTCTGCTTTCGAATATGGAATTACAGAAGGCGAACCAGCGTTGGCAAGTCAGTCGGAAAATAATCTGATAAACGACAGAACCTTTTTCATGGTTCTGTCACCTGTTCTGCAAATTGTAGTTTTATCAAAACCAACGTCCAAACTAACGCTCAAGAGGGACTCGGTTGCAGATTTCAGAACACATGTGCAATGGAGGCGCCCTCCTCTTTTGACGCCCGCAAGGCCACAGGTCAAGCACTTAGCAAAAGAGAGAGGAGAGCCTTCCGAGAAAGTCCAGATGGACCAAGGTGGACTAAGTTTCTGGTGTTGACCAAAAAACTGAACTAAACTAAACCATACAGTATTTCTCAAGACAAGTACAACTTGGCAGCTTCTAGTCCCAAGGTGGAAACACCTATGCAGGGCTGCACTTCCGAATCCAAGCCTCGCCGAACGATTGCACAGGTGTGTTCCAAGTTGATCATAAGGGTCAAAGACAGTTGTAATGCATCATTGATTAGTGAATACAGTAAGTTGTAAGTACTAGCAGATCCTACCAAATGCTGATCAGTACCAGGGATAACCGGCATACACAAAAGTAGTGGACTTTGTGCAGGTTGTGAGGTTTGCACCAACGCCTGCCCTGTGGGAGCGTTGAGCATGATGCCTCGGCTCGACACTTTGGAGAAGGGGCATGGTGCCAACTGGGTGCCTCGGACCGTGATGCTATGCGCCCATGCGAAACCCACGAATGGAATATGGCGATGTTTCCTTCGAGATATTCTTTTGGGATATTCTGGATGTTTCCGAGAGCTGAGGACTATGCAATGTCTGTTCCAAATCGTGGCCAGCGTTTTGATGCAAACACACTGAAAGGATCGCAGTTCCAGGACCATTTTCGGAGACATCATGATTTTGGGGAGAAGTGTCCCAACATATACTGAAAGCGTAATTGTATATATTTGTATATCACGAAAGCCAGCCGACAGGCTAGGCTGGAGTTGTCGATGGGCGAACGAAGTGAATAATACAGTAGGGGGTGTGGGGGGGTGGTCGCGTAGCGGCACAATCTGGTAGGGCGAACCCAGAGCCTGGTGGAGGAGAGCAAAAAAAGAGACGGCCCGACAAGTTGTAAAAATGTATGGTTTTTGGGGTGATGTAATTGACGCCGAAGAGTGCATCATTAGCATCATGAGGGGCTCCGCTATTTGACAGTCTTCGACCTGGGGTGGGAGGAGTTCATGTTGAGGACAGGAAAGAGGTGATAACAGGAGTAAAAAGTGCTTGGAACTCCTTCAGGAAAGACTTTGTTTGCTGGTGGCTAATATGAGTGGAAGGACTGCAAGAAACAATGTGACCCGTTGAGGACAGGAGAGGGAACAGAATGCAGTGGGCATGCTTTGAGTTGCTTGGGGATAGCTTCGAGTTGGTTGGGGGTGCTTTTTAACCGTGAAGAGGATAGTTAACCAGACGCAAAAGGGCACCCCACATGCGGTGGGAAGTGATAGGAAAAGAGGTGTGGAGCTCACCAGGGAAGCGAGAAGTGCGTCGCTCGGCGCTCTGTCTTCTCGTCGGTCAGAGGAATAGAGAGAATGTGACCTTTAGAGGATAGGAGAGGGAAGGGGACAACGTTTTACTAGCGCTTGACAGTTTTTGGCACGTGTTCCGCCGCATCTTCGTTCTCGACAGACACTACTGTACAAGATAGGGTTGTGAGTTTGGAAGTCAGCCAAGCAAATTATTTATTGCTTATTTATTTTTATGAGTTTGTTATGGTTTTCTTATGAAACTGAATATGCAATTTTTTTTTTTGCAGTTATGCTTTGCGTAAAATCAGTAAACGAGTGGTGACAGAACAACAACACACGGACGACCGGGAAAGTCTAACGGAACCCAACCCTTGCCCAATTGTTTTTCCCGGGGGTGGCCACCAACACTGCGGAAGAAACGCGGAAAGGATTACAGGGATACAGGGATGCGCTGCAAAAGATGAACATGTGTCCACGCTCGCCTGCTCTGGAATAGGGGCCGTACTGGGTGGATAAATCCATGGCGTTTGACCTAAGACTTTATCCGGGGGCCAGCCTCTAAGCTACCTAAAAAGGGGTTCTGTCCCTTGAAATAACCCACCCCAACCCCAGAAAACCTAGGGGGTTGACCTATTCCAGCCCCTTCCACTGGGTCAACCTTGGCTTTGGTTAACCTTTCGGAACGCCCAAGCAGTCAACCCTAGGACAACTTGGCGCCCCAAATCTACTAGGACGTAAGAAAATTTACGTCCTAGTAGTGTTGTTAATTTTTGAGGTCGCAAAGATGCGAGTTATGCGTCCAGTTGCCACACCGCCCCCGAAAACTCTTTCTATTGCACCCCTACGGTTTTCTGGTGTGTTTGGATGTTGTTTTTAAGGTTTCCATCCAAGTCTGAGTGAGATGTCCATTTTCATTGTTGATGTTTTTTTTGCCTGAATGTGAACCTCAGCCCTTCAAAACTTTATCCACGTGATCTGGCTGAGAAAGGGTCAATCCCCCCCCGGAAAATAGAACCTTGCACAGACCCCAGGTCCCAGTACGACCGGGTATCTCTAGATACTGTATATGTCATTGCGAAAGCCAGCCGATAGCCTAGGCGATGAGATCTCCACAGCAATCTTTCCTGCAACATGCTCTTTGCAGTAGACTACCATCGGTCCGCACTTGGCGGCACGCCGAGTTTCTGCTTCCATCTACAAGACACGAACAACAAACAGCATGCAAACCAGTTCCTTGCAACGCCCTTTTTCAGCTTGAAAACGCTCTTGAACCCCACCCGAACTATGTCTTCTGCTTTCTATTTCTACCACCCGTCGGCGTTGCTGCAATGTCGACTTCACCCCATAACAAAGCTACTCTTTGCCCGATGTTAGACAATCACTTGATCTTGGCTTTAACATCGGTCGACTCTTGGCAGCACGCCCAGTATATGCGTCCATCTACAAGACAAGAATCACATACAGCAGGCAAGCGCCCGTAATGTCTTCGAGGTTTCCTTTTTCGCCTTGAAAACGCCCTTGGGCTAAAGGAAAGAGGCCTCCCCCCCACCTATGTTTTCTGCTTTCTAATTATTTCCAACAGCAGCGCACGTCACTGCAATATCGATTTCCCGCCATGACAACGGCGATCTTTCCCCCAAGTTGGGCCATCACATGATCATCGATCCACTCTTATCAGCACGCCGAGTTTATGAGCCCATCTACAAGACACAAACGCCCCTCGATTATTTAGGGGTCCCTTTTCTTTCTTCAAAACGTTCCTTGAACCAAAAGAAAAAGGCAGCCCCCCCACCTGTGACTGAGAGACTCCCCACCTCTGCCTTTAATTTCCCCATGCCTCACAGCGCTTCCAGTGCCCTCTCACATTCACCCCCCATGACCATATTGATGTTTTCTTCAGAGGCTGGCTTTCGTCCCCTCCCTTCTCAGGTAGAACTGTAGAACTGTAAAGTAGAACCTACGTGAAGCAAATGACAGTAGCAATGCACATCCATTGAACAAACAAACCATGTGTTACTTTGCCATCAAACTCGTCACAACAAGCGACCTTGTTTCAAACTGACTCGAAAACCAAGAGGTAAGACAAATTTGAAGGCATCGCTTCTATCGTTACTTCTCTTGCCCAGAGTCCCGTCCCGATGAGTATAGTTCCAGTATGCTAAAACAAAAATTGACGAGCATCATTGCTCGGTTTTCCCTCACAACATTGCATTCAAGGCCTGTCTCTCTTCTTGAACAAGCAATTCTTGACACTGGACTCCTTCACCGGTCCTCCTGCTACTGTGGGAGAAGGTTTGCTTTTGCAACTTTTGTACAAGGAGCCGCTCTTGGAGTTCTCTGGTGCCTGCGAGGGCTGTGGCGAGACACCATATGCAAAGCTGGTGACCCAAATGTCAGGTCCTTGGGTTGTGCATAGTGAAATGAAGACTATTGGAATGCACTGTGAGGTTCGGAAAGCGCCTCATTGTAGCCAATGCCACAGGCCGGAGTCTAGCGATAATGGAACAGGGCAGACTGGCACGTTGGTTCCAAATCCAGGTTGCAGCAGCATTTGGGGCGGCACTGCTGGGTGGGTTCCATATGCTACAGATAAGGCAGGGCACTGTCGGCCAAACACCTGGATCGCAGCATGACGTTCGATTCTTTCATGGCACAGAAAATTTGTTGGATTCAGTTAATGTTTCTGATGTTTTTGGACACTAGTCGAATTGAGCACACAAGCATGTCAGTGGGAACCAAATTGAAACCTTTCAATTTGGAATAGCTTGTTGAACGAAGGGGGTGGGCAGAAACAAGCTGTTTATATAAGGTTTATGTTTCGGGTGCTAAATGAACTGGTTTAATCGAAAAGATAGTTACTTTCCAAGAAACACCTCGGCCAGCACAAACTGTTCAACCAAAAGGTACAGTACGTGTTAAGAAAATGCGGGGTCTGGAAGATGAGAGCCCAGAGGCAAGGCACCATGTGACGTACTCCGCGCACTAGCAAGAATGCTCTAATTCGTAAGGACCTAAAGACAATGTGTGGTTGAAATTACCAAGCTGTGTATGCAACAGTATTTGGCAATCGCCTTGCAAGCAGAGATGCACCGGGGCAATCAAAGATGTTTGATGTGTTGGCCTGCTTGCGGTGATTTTGTCTTGTTATTGCCATTAAACATGGTGCTTTGTGGCAAACCGTTCGCAGGAAACTGGCAAGGGGGCTGCGTGGGGCAACTCTCTTTTCGAAGACAATGCAGAGTATGGCCTTGGCCAGGCCATCAAATTGAGAAGTTTGAGAATCAGGTTTTGCAGGGTTGAAACATACGAGTACAGAGAGAGATCAAAACAGTACAGTATGCAATTTTTCGGATACGAACCGGTGCTTCTTTTTTGGTGGATGCTTTGTGCTACACTTCGTCACTCACTGCAGGTCATCCACGTCAGGCAGCGACGGCGCCAGCTACGAGACCGCGTTGAAGCAGCTCTCGCACGAGCTGGAAAGGCCATGAGCATCGCTTTGAGGACCCAGACTCACCAGCAGTTTCAGTGCTGACAAACCAAACCAAAAGAAAGCTTTCATTTGCTGTTTTCATGTTCTTTCATTTTACGAGGCGAGGAAGCAACAAGGAACATTGTGAATTTGTCAAACTTTTCAACACCGTACCTGTTGCCAAAGGGCTTTGCATGAGCAGGAGCCTCTTGGAGCAGTGGCTGGAGTTTGGCGAGGACCTGCTTCTTTTGTCACGTTGCTTAGAAGCTGTTCTTTGCTACACCTTCCAAACATGCTCTGTTGGTGTGGTTAGAAGTTGGTGATTGTCATTCCAGACTCCAGACCGAAGGCCTATCAATTATCGTGCTTGATAATGTCACTGCCGGTGCGAATGCGAACTCAAAACAAACATGAAAAACACCAGCTGATACTGCTTGGGAGGATGGAAGCATCTCTGAGAGATTATCTGACGAGCTGCAGCCACTGCTGGAAGAAGAGAAAGGGAAGGCGAAGGACATGAATCCATATAGGGAGACGGATCTATCCTGCCTGCCCCTACCAACCAAAGGTTGTACTTGTTTTGATCCCTTACTTGGCCAAGTCTTGCGAGGTTCACCGGGAGTGACTTGAGCCGAGATAGTTCATAGCTGACAATTGATCGTTTGTTTGGCAAGGAGATTGCCGAGATTGTCCGCCTAAAGGACCTGCTTTTGAGCTGCAATGAGGGCGACCTAATAAAGGTAATTTGTTTGCAATGAGTCCGCTTCAATTAGGTTCACTAAGCCTTCCATGTGGATGTTTGGCGGTGACGGCTGGGCAAATGACATTGGCTATGGTGGCATTGACCATGCGATTGCCAGCGGAAACAATGTGAAGATCGTCGTCCTTGACACGGAGGCCAAAGCATATTGTATGGCCATGGCATAGACAAATTGCAATTTACTTTGCAATTTGCTATGCAATGGGGCCAAGCGGCGTTGCTTTGGGAGTTAGCTCAAGCCTGAGGTCTACAGCAACACTGGCGGTCAGTCATCCAAGTCCACTCCGATGGGTGCTGTTGCCAAATTTGCCCAGGCTGGTAACTTAGGCAGTTCGACTAGACACACAAATCAAACAGTTAGATCAAACAAGGATAACAATGCTCCTATTGCGATTGCGATGTGTCGTACGATTTCATGCGGCACTTTATTTTTGCTTTCATTTGTCATCTCACCATTTGTCTATGCTGCATGCTGAATGTTGACAACTGATTCATGCGAGACCTCGCGGGCCCTGGGAGCTCCGTCGTTCATTGCAACAACCTCTCCCAACCCTTAACACATTCAACATCCTCATTGGCACGTACATAGTCAGCGATGTGCAGGGTGAGGGTGATTGCAGATTGTGAAAGTCCGGTGGTTTGATCCAAGTGTTGTTGTGCCAAAAGTTGTGTTCAGGTATACTACTCCGAAACCACGGAATCCGCTTAAGCCAACAAGTTTGTAAAACAGAATCTACCGAAAACATCAAAATGCTTGTTGCCACAAGCAATTGAGCTGTGAACCTCAAAGTGGAGGCATGGTGTTGTGTCAGACAAGGGCCTGCCATTGACTCCCTGCATCCTTTGACCCTTTGCTGATAAGGCTGGCAGAGACCAGCGGAAAAAGGACCTTGGCGCAATGGCAATGGCATATCAGCATGTCTACGTCGCTTGGTATGTGAACCCTTCGATCCTAACAGGCAGCCCCATATGAGGGCGCCAATGATGCCTTTCTGTGAGTTACAGTAGTTATATATATATATTTGTAATATATACACATCCGACGGCATCCAGAACTGAAGGTGGCTTCCGTCGCTATTGGTGCGAACTACAAGCAGACTGTGGAAGCATTTGCAGAAGCCGAGAAATACGAAACACGGCAACACTGATGTAAATTGATGCACCACCATGCGATCTGAGATTTGAAGTTCTGCAATTGGCAAGAGTTTAACATGCAACTCGGAAAGAGTTCTAGCCCGAGATTTAGTTGGGACAACTTTGAGGATGGCCCTGCTCTCCTCCTTTGCTATGCTCCTTGCATTGAGCACCGTTTCTTCAAGACAGGCACCACCTCACCATGTCTTGTTCTGCAATACAAGTTGCGAAGCATTTGTTGCACTAGGCCTCTCCGCAATGTCACTCGATCAGAAGGATGCTGTTGAGTGCGGCCAAGTTGCAGCTTTAGTGTTGCTAGATGCTAGTAGTGAGGAGCTCAATAAGGGAGTCTCAGAGCAAATGTTTGGAGAACTGAAAGCTTCAATAGGTAAATCTTGTACTAAGGTGGCTACTGGCCCCTCTACCGCTTCAACCCCAGACTGGCCCGGGATGGCAACAATCCGTTCATTCTGGATTCAAAAAAAGTGACGGGAGATGTTTCTTGGAGGCAGTGGTTTGTCTTTTGAAGTTGACTCTGGCACAGCTTTCATCAGATAGCGGGAGCTATTGGGGTTCTTACTTCAATTATAGGGAGGGTCGCCTGTGTGCGCTTTGGAGCCTGGGTGCTGGTGCCGCTGTAGGGCGCTGCCAGCTGCGTGGCCATGTGCGTTTTGGAGCTTAGGTGGTGGTGCCGCGGCAGGGTGCATAAACATTGCGCTTAGGAGATGGTCAACTTCAAATAGGTCATCCTGGATCATAGGAGATAAGGCAGACAAGACACCTGGAACACGTGTTGGTGTCGCTGCAGGCCGCAGCGGGGCGCCGCTGCCAGATGTGTATGGCCCATGCGCTTTGGGGGTGGCTCCAAGGTCCGTGATGCTGGTGCCACTGCAAGGTGTTGCTGCCATGTCTATGGCAGCGCTTGCCGGCCAAATGTCTTTGCGATGTGCGCTTTGGAGCTGCCGTGCCGCTGCGGGGTGGTGCTGCAGGGTGTTGCTTGGCAGTGTGCGCATTAGGGCCTGAAGCCTGTGGCACGTGGTTGTTTGTGCCGGTGCAGGGTGCTGCTCGCAGATGTCCATGGCAGTGTGACAGTTGAAGCCTGTGTGCTGGCGCTGCTGCAGGTGCCGCTGCAAGGTGCCGGCCAAATGTTTGTGCCTGTGCGCTTTGGAGCTTGTGTGCTGGTGCCAATGCGGGATGTCTATGGCAGTTTGAACTTTGGAGCCTGCGTGTTGGTGCTGCTGCAGCAGGGCGCTGCTGGCAGATGTTTATGGCAGTGTGTGGTGCTGGTGTCATGCTGCCCACAAATATTTTTTGTTATGTGGGGTCTATGCTGGCGTAATTCTCTCGGTGATGCAACGTGAGAACTGCTTGAACGCGAGAACTTCAGCAGTCCTCTTCTGACTTTGAGGTGATGAAATTTTTGAACCGGCAGAATCGCTATGCACAGCTGGTACGCTCAAGTCCTGCTGTGGCAGAGAAACTCCAAGGAGAATTGCAGGCCTTTTGGTGCCATTTGCAAATGCCCCAACGGGTTTTCCAATGTGGCCAGCCTTTAGATTTATTTGTGCCTTCAAGTTTTCATTTGTCTTCATTTTTCTGTATGGGTGATGCTTTTACCCTTTTCGTCCACACCTCGGCCTCAGCTCATTTTATAACATTATATATATATATATATCATCTCTTCCTGAATCCCTCATGAAAGCATCTACCGTTGTTACTATACGTCTGAAATCTCAAGCCATTCGAACCTGGAGCAGGTCTACCTGAAGCAGCGCCACTCTGCGTTGCGAGAGAAGGCAGCAGCTGACCTCTCCAAGGAGGCGGCTTCTCTCAAGGCTCGCGCCCGAGCTGTGCCAGTTGATTGGCCATTTAAGCAGCTCTGCAAGAGTTGAAACCGCTTCTTCTCATGCTGTGTCATCGACACCGTTGAGCAGAACTTGAGTGCCAAGAAACTGCAAGGACGGTTTGAAGGAAGCCAAAAGCGCAGCAGAGCAGGTTCTCATCACATTTGGCTCAGATGCTCGGAGCCGTTGGGTCATGACCTGCTCCCCAGTTTGCCAGATGAAACATTTTGGTATATAATGACAGAATGTCTCTTGACAGACGTTGCACATTGTCACCTTCCTCACGACCTCTCCCTTCCCAAAAAGGACACGACCTGCAAGCAGCACAATTTCTGAGGACACTGGGGTCACAGAGCATGTGGCCAAAAAGTTTGCAGGCTTCAGTGCTGTTGGAGGGTTCAGTGAAGTGAACTGCCGATTTCCTTTGCCGTGCTTTTGATGGCAGCAAAACTCAATATTTTCGATGCTTTTCTGATTTTTATTGTTTTTATCTTCATTTATCTTCATTCCTCCTTAGTTTTCTTTTTCCTTGTTCTTTTGGCCCAACGTCCTTGCAAGGCCTTTGCGCAGACCGAGGGGTCCATGTGAGGCGAGTGTGCGATCTGGACGAGTTGAGTGACATTGAAGAACTGAAGGCGCCTGGTCGACCGTGACGGTCCACGTCTCTTCTTTTTTTGGAAAAGGTTTGCTGAGCGAAATTAAGAGTGCTTGTTTTCCGCCTCGTTGAATCGTTCTTGTTGAAAAAAATAATTCTATTCATTTTGCTTGGAGGCTGCATGCGCAGGGGCCATTTGCGTGGTGATGTGTTCCACTTGTGGCCACGGAGACTTCCCCCAGAATGCAGGGCTCTTTTGGAGCAGCCTTTCAGCGCAGAATTTGGCAAGCAAGGCGGATCAAATTACTGTACATCTATACATCCATATAAGTGTTCTTTATATTTTTTCGTTGCCCTAAACGACATCTCAGTTAGCAGATGTTCGCAGTTTTGCGCAGCCAGCAGGAGCTGAGCGGTTTGCGCTTCTGTGTGTTTGGAATGGGAGACCGCAGCTATGCAGATTCCTTCTGTGAAGCTGCAAAGAAGATTGAAGATCGGATGCGAGAGCTTGGATGCTTGGAAAGTGCTATTTCATTACATGCAATCATTCTTTGCGGGAGAGTGGAGGTTTTGTTTGCAAAAACAAATAATTCATATCATAACTCTCCATTTAAGCCTGGGAGTCATCCCTATCCAAACGGGTCCTGAGAACAGTTTTTGTTTCCCTACTATTTATCATGAAAGGCATTCACACATGAACCGGAAGGCATGATGGCCCCGGTTAGAACGCATGCAGGCTGGAATGTCACTGATCTGATCTAACAATCTTACCGTGTGAATGTGGCTCTCAGTGTATTCGCCAACACCAACACCTCTGTCTATACCTCTATATGCGATATACCTTCTGATGAACATCTATGCCAGGAACCGTTCAACACAAATAATCCTTTGCAATGTGTGCGAGTGGCTGGTGTTAAAATGTGGTTGGGGCAGGGTGGTTTGGCTTTGGTTTTTTGGTTCCAAAAAGCTGGAGTGAGGTTGGCGCGGAGATTTGTGCTGGAACTGCTGCGCAAAATTCTAAAAAACCACACTTACAAAGACACTTAAAAACACAGTTTGCCAAATAATCATACATTAGACCTTTGCCAAGGAGCCGAAAGATTGCTGGACATGGGTATCGGAGATGATCGAGACGAGGCACCGCAGCTGGCCCAGTCTTACCAAATGACATGCGCTCGCTGATTGGTGATGTTCTTTACTTGATGAACCCAGCAGTTGCAGGACAAGTGGGAGACGGGCTTCCAGAAGTGGTTGCCCAAGCTTTGGCTTACTCTCAAGGCATCGGAGCCACAGGATGATGGTAGGCAGAAACCTCAGATAAAGCAGCGCAGAAAAAGTCATCGCATCCTGAGCATTGAGTCACTAAGCGTTCCATATGCCCTGACCTCTTAGGCCAAAGGAGCCGCTTTTCGAGGTGAAGTACCACGAAATGGCCGCGCTGCAGACCTCCCCTCTTGTGCCACCGGGCTCACAGTTGCTGCGAGTGGCGGAGAACAGACGTGGCGTGGCAAGAGGAGGTTCCTTCAAAAGAGACAGGCTAGTTGAATGAATTGAATTGGTTTTCACTATATAATTGTGGTGTAATATTTTGAAGATTTCCATGACAGCAAGGTCTGACGCCCTCTGGCTACGAGCGTGATATCCGACATGTTGCACTGAGCCTTGAGGGAGCTGACTTTCCTTTCGACTTGGGAGTTCCTTGATTTGAACCTTGAAACATCACAAGTTTGCCATTGCCAGCAGAGCTGATGATGGTAAGGGATGAACTCCTGCTGAGGACGCTGTTGCCATCTATCCTGAGAATCTGGCCAAGGTGGGCTGCATGGATCAAATGCCAAAATGATCAGAAGCTTCAAATCGATCGAGAAAGAAGAGCTTGACCTTTGAGTAAATGCCTTGAACCAGCCTAAGTTCAGTCTGAGGATGTTGACGTTGCTTGGCCAATCTTGGTGTGTGTGTGTGGTGTGTGTCACAGTTAGTGATGATGTCCTGTGATTCACCGCGAACAAAAGTAAGAAGGCTTAGAGGAAAAAAACGTACCAAACTTGTGATGCCTTGCTGCTGGCCGCTGACGGTTCTCAGGAAGCACTGGCGTTTTTGGACTTAGATGGTGATCGAGTGATTTCTGTGAAGTGCTCTGAGCACGTCTCCGAGCGCCACCGACGAGCCTTTGAGCGGCGTGTAACGGTGCGCCAAGTCCTGACGACTCTTGGCGGTACAAAGTGACGACTCAGTAGTCAGTAGCGGCAGCTAGTGTGGTTGTAGACCTTGTATTCCGTCTGCTGCCCTTTACGCCTGTGTGTGGGGTCACTTATATATTGGACTGTGTGGGCTTGAGCTTAAAATCTGTTTTTGGAGAACAATATAAGCTCCAAGTCAAACCTCAAAGCGATGCTCACCGAATCCTAACGGTCCTAACGTCTTTTGGCTTACACAATTAGCAGTAAAACTAGACCATGGCCTATGGCCCATACATGTTATATGTTTTATTGCACCTATACATAGCACGACATTTGATCCTTTTTGCTGCTTCGCTGATTCTGCATTTCGCGTTCTGCAAGAGGTTGAGTAGTGGAAATCAAGAGTTCAAGGGAACAGGGAAGAATTCAATACCAGTTGACCAAAGCAAGTGGTTGTACTTTACATCCGAGCTGTTGCTCGACAGTTCATGGTAACTGTAACACTGTCCCAATTTGGTCCAGAGGGTATGATGCGATGATTGGTAACTGCCCCTGGTGACTCTTGCCATCAGGAGCATGCTTGACCTGTTTGGCCAGGGCCCTAGAACTGTCTACCTGCCCTGGCCCTGGGTGGCGCAGCACGCTCCAGTACACAACCTTTATCAGCCTTGCATGGCACTCTGAGAAGGCTTGAGCTTCAGCGTGGCCCCAGGTCGCCCTTCTCGCTCATTCTGCACAGACCTTGCCCGCTTCGCAAACAATGCAGAGTCGAAGGCTAGGAAGCCGCTTTGGTTGAAGATCCTAGTGGATGGTGTGCCAAAACGAACCTCAGCCAACGCAGGCTTAGTTGCAACCCGAACCTGAGTTGTATGTAAATGTTCGATGCATCCTTGACACTATGATTTGCACCTCTAAGGTTCTCTCCCCAAGATGACAGCACATGCATAAGCCACCCGAGCCCCTATCACCAAAGCCATGCAGGACAAGTCTGCCGCAACCACCGTGCACCCATCCCGCCGCACACCCTGCGTTGCCAAGGTATATTGTAGCCTTTTGAGGCCCCGTGCCACGACAACACTCCGTGCATCCACTTACTGTATACACATCGCGTGCCCACCTGATACGCATGACTCTTTTGCTTCTGCAGTCTGGAAGTTGCCCACTTGGCCTGCCTTAGGAACAAACCAAGAATTATGATGATGCGTGTATGTATATATATATATTGTCAATGGAAGTGCAGCAACAGGCCATAGTATGTATAGAGTGTATACACCGTATGTGATGACTTGACCTTTGGCCCAAGGCCCCTGTGAGCGGAAAACAAACGCGCTGCGTTGTTGAGCGCTCATGGAACTACAGGATAGCCTTGCTACTTGCACGGTACAGGGTTAATATCCACTCGCAGGTTATCAGCCGTAGCCGCTCAGAGGTTACGAGCTTAAAAGAGACCGAAAGAGAAGATTGTCGACATTTGACCTGCAATGTCCAGTTCCGGAAGAAGGAGCAGCGAACAGTTTGCAAAGGAGGACCTATGTCTCAATCGTCGCCAGGATCATTGACTGGTCCGAGTTCAGCAGATGCTACAGTGATGACTATGCCAACAGGATCACAAGTTTCAGGTGAAGGTAGGGTCGTTCCACCGGAACAGACTGCTACCGGACCCGATGCAAGAACAGGCAACGCAAAGAGAGCAATGAAAAGATTCACGAGATCAGCATCGCCAAGAACGAATATTGCCAGATCACCAACAAGGAGCATTGAGAGAGTTTAAATCGAAGATGCAAAAAGAAAGGAAGAAAGAGAGATTCAACTCATTGAGGAACTACGATCAGCTAGAGCTTCGTACCAGTACTTGCACGATGATTACAGTTGCCTACATGCTGGATACGCAAGTCTCTATTCAAGATCGCAACAAGAATTCTCACAGATGACAATGTGCAACAAACCTATGCGCAATCACCTACAGGAGATGAGGCAAGAAGACGAAGGAGCAACTATTAGAATCGACAACCTTGAACGCAAGCTTCGTCTCGCTGAATCGATGGCAGATCACATATACGCAAAGTACGAAGAACTTGCTCAAGAAAGTCATGAAGAACATTCACAGCTCGACGAGGTGAGATCCAGGGTGAGAGACACGACCAGTGAGATGCAGAGTGCTTTCCACTATATCCAGGAATAGAATCAGAACTCTGATGCTTCCTCTTGCTTTTACAGAGGCCGACAAGGTATTGAAGAGAGAAAACCTTTTGAAGACTCCTGTCTTTGATGGCCGTGAAGGAGCAGGAATGAAGGACAAGACCCAAGAGCTCGAGGAGAACGTACAGGAAACCGAGAAGGATCTGTGGGAAACGAGATCAGAGAATGCACAGATGAAGGCAAAACTTCGTCATTGCCAAACGTACACCGAACGTGATCGGGATAACAGTCGTGATGGACGAGGGTTACAAACCCGTCGGCCAGACGACAAAGACAGCTCACGTCTGAGAGCAGATGTCAAATACCATGAAGGTGACGCTCACAGACTGAGAGGCAGCCGAGACAAGATGTACGAATGGCATGAAGAAGCTTTTGCAAGCTACACTGAGGAGTTTGAAGAAGCGCAAGAACACGAAGCTTTGAATATAGAGCTAAGGAACAGGTTGTCCGAAGCAGCATCAGCATCTTCATCCTCACCCACTTTTGCAGCTACAAAGGTTTCCAGGAAAGAAGAATCCAAGGTGAATGTACCTCCATGGCCCAAAGTCAATGACCTAGGACTATGGAAGGTCAATCTGATTCAGGCAATCATCATTGTGGCAAATGATTCTGATCAGCGACCGTGGATCCGATCAAAGAAGCCATTGATGATCCGGACCCAGATAGGCTCATGGATTCTGGTGATCCGAGGATCCATTCCATCGATGCGAAGTTGGGTCTAGCATTGACTAAGGTAGTCACAGATTCCAATGAAGAAGGGAACAATGTTGCTGCGCAGGGCCTCCACCCTCATCAAAGGAAGGGAAGTCCTGGCATTGATTCTTCTCAATTTCAACACAACATCCAACGCTGAGGTTCTATACACATCCACGCATTTGTATCAGTTGGAATATCAAGGAGACAGGAATTTATCTCTATTCTTCCACACATGGGATGAGATCATAGCACGGATGAAACCAACGGATATCCCAAGTGACAAGTGATGAAACCCCACGAGATCTACGATGGAGGAAGATAAGGAATTCCAATCTGATGGCTTATGACACGCATGCATACAACAGCCTCAACGAAGGAGATCCCAAGAAGACATATCAAAATATTCGGGACATCGTCCGAAGACGCATCGAAAGACAGACTGAAGATAAGATGATTCTCGAGAAGGAAAAGGCTGTCAAGAATGTCGCCAGTATATTCCAAAACCTGCCTGAAACCAGGTGGCCCGGCACCTAAGGCGAAAGCCGCACCAAGTGAGCCGAAGAAGAAGCCGAAGCCATCAGTTGGTCTAGGTGACATGGAAGAAGCAACCCCTGTCAAGCCTAAACCGAACCCCAAGAAACATGCTGAAGACAAGAAGGGAAAAGGTAAAGGTGACGGCGAAGCACTAGTGTAGATAAGACAAGAAGAAGATTCCACGCAAATTCTATACCAAAGGGAAGTGTACCTCAGAAAAAGGGTGTCCATACAGTCACAAGAAGGCAAGAACCCCTGCAAGGGGTACCTCACCGGGTCGTGAAGGAGTGGTTGCTTATTGGAGTTGGATCAGAGGGAACTGCCCCAAAAGATTGCAAGTTCGATCATGATCCGCAGGCGGCGCCCAAGAAAGGGATTGGAGGAGCTGATGAGGACAAGCCAAGGCAAGCGCAAACCAAAGCCAAAGCCTAAGGCAAAACCTGGCGCTCCAGTGGCGGGAGATTCATCTTTCTTGAAGGAATCCGACGGTGAAGGGGTTGCAGCTAGCGTGAAGGTGAAGAATGTGAAGAACAGGAAGGTCTCATCTGATGATGACATTGGTGAGATCATCTTCAATGAAGCTGTGTATTCAACCAGGAATGTATGGAAGCCAGCGATCAAGAAGCCATTGAGACCAGATATCAAGAAATATGATATGTGGGAGGTTACCGCCCACCGGGAACAGAGCAGGTTTGATGCAAAGGTTGCAGAAGCAAGGGCCATTCTCATGACTCCGAACACAAGCGTCAAGGAAGTTCATATCCCCGCTGGTCCGAACGGTGACATTGCCATCGCAATGAGGTTGGATGAAGAAGATGGATTGGTCTTTGGACGCCAACTCATACATCATGTTTGTGGCAAACACGGCATCAAAGGTGAAGCGCAGACTTTGTCAGTCCCTGCAAAGGGTGGACATGACCTCATTTCAAAGAACAGAGCTAAGAAACTCGGATTGAAAATCGAGGAGAGTGACAACCCCATGTCATTGTTCCCAGCGAACGGTGTGACAAGCACAAATGATGTTGCGAAGATCAATTTTGGTGAATTTGGAACTACGCACTCGCCTTACGTACTAGATGAATCACCATCAGCGCTATCTGCTGGGGAGAAGTGCATGGAAGAAGGATATTCCTTTGTTTGGCCGGCAAATGGCGCGCCATACATGATCTCGTCAGAGAACAAGAAGATTCTACTCGAGGTCCCATATGTGGTCAAAGACAGTGATTTCTGTTCACCAACCATCGATGAGCAGGTAGAGCATGTATCGAAGCTAATCATTGGTCATATTGACGCGGGTGACCAGCCAGACGTCTTCGGCCACGAGGTAGATGCGCGAGGATTCAACAGCGACTCTGACAATCACCCTTCCGAGACACCCGTGAAGGTGAAAAGAAGGAGAAAGAAGAAAAGAAGAAGAAGAAGAAGTATCAAGCATCGCCTGGCGAAGACGAAGAAGTTGTTCGCGAGGATCCCGAAGAAGAACCTGACGAAGCAGCGGACGGAGATGACGCTGATGATCTCGAAGTTGATGTTATCGATGGCGCTAGCAGAATGGTCAGAAGGGGAACCCTCAAGGCCGAAGCCAGAACGATTCAGCATCTTCTCACACATCGACACAGGAATCCATATTGTGAATCGTGTATTCGGGCCCAAATGAGGCGCTTCAAGACCGACAGAGGAGCATTCAAGAGAAAGCTCAAAGCCTTCGGTGATCTAGCAACATTTGACAGAAGGAGAATCACGGGCCAAGGTATTCACACCGATCGAGAGATATTTGTCATCAGGGACCGGCGGGACCGGTATACAGGAATCATATGGGCATACCCCTCGATGGTGAAATTCGCAGCGGACGCGATCAATCCGCTCAACCACTTCAAAGGCTTCAGAAAGATCAAGATCGCTTACGCAGACAAAGCCCCAGAGTTTGAAGTCGGGATGAAGCAGTTGAAGATACCATTAGATCACTCATTACCACACCATCTGCAGAACAACTCATTGGCAGAGAGAAACAACCAGTTCATCATGACTACCACCACTACTTGTCTACTGGAAGCTGGTCTTCCACCATGCTTTTGGAATCATGCAGTGGAATGCGTTCAAGCTACATGGCAAAGAGTTTCATGGTGAGAAGATACCTTTTGGCGCCAAAGTTTACTTCACGCCAAGCAGCCAAGGGAGAGCGCTTCAGAAACACAACTTCGATCCTAAAGGGATTCCTGGAGTATTCGCTGGTTATGAGGTAAAGCCAGGCATGAGTTGGTCAAGACAGTACAGAGTATGGAGCCTAGAGACGTTCACCAGTCAAAGTCTTGCATTTGATGCAAGAAGCCCAATCAGGAAGTTGG